CTGTCAAAACTATATTAAAAATATAGAAAAGGGTATGACAAAATTATTTTGAGGAGGTTTCGGCAGGCATCTATAATTGAAAGTGTATCATATAGAGTAAGAATTATTTGATATTAGACAAATTATTGGCTTCAATATAATCATCTTTCAATAAGCCATCAAAGTAAATATCAAAAATCATTACGACTAATAGATAATGAAGATATAGTGAAAAAATGTCATATATGAATTCAGTTTCAAAATGAACAAACATTTCATTAAAATTCAAGAACTTTATTGAATAAAGCTACTTATTAATTCAAAAGTAATGAAAAAAAACTACTAGTATAGGAATTGTAATATAGTAGCTTAATGTATTTGGTTATTTTTTTCAATCACAAAACAAGGTAATATAAGTATATACTATACATACAAAATATTAAAAACATTAAACTAGGTTACTAATGTTAGATAATATTATATAAGACTTATATTACAATGGTCACGAACATTCTAATATTGTAAAATATTGACAAATTTTTCTAGATAAAATCTATAGTTATAAAAAGAGTATAACAAAATATGAAGGCTAAAATATGAAATGGATATTACCAACATTTGAACTAAATAAAAAGGAAATAATTTTTGTAACGTATGATGAATGTGTTTTTTACTTCAATAATAGAAAATGAGATATATAGATAAAGCTCATAGAATTACCATTACATAAGAAGGGAAATAGACATTTTATTATAGTTAATAAATTCCTGATAGAAGAATGTAATTGACTTAAATTGAACTTGTATAAATGTTAAGAAAATTCTTTTATACCTAAAAAAGCTCATATTTATCTTTAACTGAAAAAAGATTAAAAAAGATTTTGAACAAGTGAACATCTAATTAAACAAATAAAAATGAAGGCTATACCAATTTTTAAAACACTTTTTTTCAAATTATATTACCTTATTTGTATTTGATAATAATTCAAACTATACAGTATATAGATCTAATGCACTTGTGATAAGTAAAATAAACTTTAAAATCTAGAGTTAAACAACTTAAGATAAAGAATACAGTTTTTAGATCTAATAATAACGATAAGTATCAATCAATAGTTAATAAAAATAATAGACTAAAGGAATGAAATAAATATTAATTGAGTGTGAATTATGAAAGAATGGATTAAATGCTAATTGTCAATTATGTAAGGATAAGATTGAAAATATAAATCAGACAAATTGTTGTGCACAGAGAATTATTTTATTACAGCCAGATTTTCTATCACAAAAAAATGCATTAGAGAAAATAATACTAAAAGCTAGGTATAAGCAGTGATATATATTTTTGATGTTCTAGAGATTTGTTATTTCAACTATATGTTCTAGCTATATGTTCTAACCTGTCTTACACTATGTTTTAAATGTCCTATCTGTTCCATTTATATTCCATCAGCATCCTATTAGTATTCCATCAATATTCCATAATAATACTGAGTATAAATGCATATTTTACTCAAAGTTTACTATAAACTGAATTATATTGAATGATACTAGAGAATGATAAAAAGATATGTTCGTAAAAATTGCAATTACTCTTGATCAGACTTGCAATGCATTATTCCTATAATCTTAAAATTTATTAGTACAATTATAATAAGAAATTTGCTAGGAAAGTATAGTATTATATGAATTTGTATAGGAAAAGAATAACTAATAAGTTGGCAGAATATGCTGTCAAAAAGAATAAATCTTACCATTATATTTCTAAATATATACTGAAAGAATTAAATAAATAAAATAATAAAATCTTATATTATTTTCGTGACATAAAAAATGCTAAAATCATTAAAATTCATGTGAAGATCTACATTTAAAATTTTGGACTAGTGCAGTTTATAGGTAAAAATCATCATATTTTAAATGAAGATGTTGATGTCATATATTTATTAATAAGTTATAGTTCTCACTTACCAGAACTTTATGATAATTATTACAAAATATTAAATATAATGGTAGTGGTATGGTATTAATATGTGGTTATAGTTATAATTAGCATTGCTATGGTTAAATAGAGTATGGTTATCGACAATATGAATAGTATTATAAAGATAGAATATATAAAAATGTCAATTTATTATTACAAAGACTTGAAAAGAGTACTGATACATTTTCTGAAAATGATAAAATTGAAAAAGAATTACAAAATTTAAATGAAGAATTAGAAGTTTTTAAGTATGAAAATATTTAAGAAAAGATGTAAATTTGCAAAGTACAATAGATAATATAAATAAATAGTAATAAAGAAAAATAAAATAAAAATATTATACAAAAGAATATATTTTTATTACATTTACATGTATAAGCAAACTATCTTTAAATACTCAATCTAACTTGATTTAAAAGTTTTAAACAATCCATTAGGATATAAAAAAATTTTATTTAAAAATTTTTTTTAACAAAAAACTGAAAGTGTTATATTGTATCAATTTTGTATTACTATTACTAATAAATTTATATAATATGATATGTATAACTAATCATATTCAATTTGTTCTATTTAATGATCAACCAATAAACATAAATTTTCATCATGCTATGTATTAATTGATAGCCTTTATAGTAGAGGTATATATTACGTAAAATAATTTTGAGTATAATTTAAATAATATACTATACTCACCTTTTTGTATATATATTTAGTATTCGAAATGAGTATAATAAATTTTTTTTTTATATTTATACTCAATTGTCTTATAAAACTAAAACTAAAATTAAACTATTATAAAATTTTTATTTTTAATATATGAATATTCAAGCTTAATATTTTTAATTAACATTTTTGCCTAATTAGTTAATTTTTATTTGATGTTCTTTTCAATATTAGACAATTCTATTACACAAATTTTAGCTTCCTATTTCCTTAGAGTAAATTCATGCTTTTTTAAAGAAATCTCTTTCTTAGTATTCAAATTCATCAAGCTTTAAAATCAATTTATTCTTCTTATTCTTCTTACTATTATTTTCAATTCATATTTGATATTAATAATGACCTTTTTACTTTATTTTTTATTATTAGATTACATATTTTGTTAGGACTGATTTTTATAATATTAGATTTTTTAGTTTACATCAGTAAATTTAATAATGCGAAGTATTACGTAAACCCTACGCTTCGTAATCTTACGTAAGGTTACGAGCCC